ATTTTGAAATCTATTTTATCAAATATGAATATTGCTACTCCAGCTTTTTTTTTTCTATCCCTTCACTTTTAACCTATGTGAGTATGTAAACAACATATATGTGAGTCGTGCTTTCTTATTTAATCAGCTACTCTGTGTCTTTTGATCGGAGCATTCAATTCATTTACATTTACGGTGATAATTGATATGTACTTATTTATTGCCATTTTTTGTTTAGTATTGTTATATTTTTCTTCCTATTTCTTCTAGTAATTATAAGAGTCCTATTGACATTTCTTGCAGTGCTGGTTTAGTGCTAATGTATTTCCTTAGCCTTTTTTTTGTCTGTGAAGCTGTTTATTTGACCTTCTATTTTGTTTTGTTGTTTTATTTTTATCTTCACCCGAGGACATTTTTCCATTTTTTGTTCAGATAGAGCAGGAAGGAGAGAGAGGAAGAGAGAGAGAGAGAAACATCGACGTGAAGGGACACATCGAGTGGCTGCCACCCGCACGACCAACCAGGGCCGGGGACAAACTTCAACCGAGGTACGTGCCCTTAGCGGGAACCGAACCCGGGTCTCTCTGTACCGCAGGCCGACGCTCCAACTGCTGAGCCAAACCGGCCAGGGCTGACCTTCTATTTTGAATAATAGCCTTGCTGGGTAGATTAGTCTTGGATTTAGATCCTTGTTTTCATGTCCTTGATTACCTCATGCCATTCACTTCTGGCCTATAGTGTTTCTGTTGAGAAGTCAGCTGAGAGCCTTATGGGGTTTTTTTTGTAGGTAACCTGTTCCTTATCTCTTGCTGTCTTTAGGATTCTCTACTTGTCTTTAATTTTGGGCATTTTAATTACTATGTGTCTTGGTGTTGGCCTGTTTGGGTTCTTGTAACTTGGGGCTCTCTGTGCTTCTTGAACTTGAATGCCTTCTTCCTTCACTAAATTAGGGAAGTTTTCTGTCAGTCTTTCTTCAAATATATTCTCTAACACTTTCTCATATTATTTTTCAGGGACTCCTATGATGTGAATATTATTACGTTTCCAGTTGTCCCACAGTTCTCTTAATCTGTCTTCCTGTTTTTTAATTATTTTTTCCTTTTGGTTTTCTGATTGGTTTATTTTTTCTACCTTGTTTTTTATTCACTTATTCGGTCCTGAACTTCTTCTACTCTGCTATTTAGTCCTTCCAATATGTTCTTTATTTATGCTCTGTCATTCTTCATTTCTTCTTTGTACTTTTTAATTTCCAATTTGTTGATTTTCAATGTTTCTATGTCTTTACTATTGGTGTTGATATCCTTGCACATGCTGTTGAGCTTCCTCAAATCATGGCTCTGAATTCTAGCTCTGTGAACTTACTTAACTACATTTCATTTATCTTATCCTGGGTAGAGGTCTCTGGTTCTTTCATTTGGGATTTGTTTCTTTATTTCACCATTTTGGCTATCTGACTGGTTTTGGGAGGCTCCCAAATTTTTCCTGTCTGTGTTGGTGTTCTCCCCCCACTGGGATTAGATGAGTGAGGGAGGACCCACATTAAACACCACTGTCATGTCTTACTTTTCTGGGTTGAGTTGTAAGCCCAGGAATGGTTCTGTTATCCTATAGGTTTTTGCCTGGAGGCCATTAGTAGATATTAGTGGAAGAGCTATGATTGTATTGCTGTCAATTTCTCCTCTGAAATCCTCCAGAAGTTTTAAAATGTATTTTGGTGCTCCTGTGTTGGGTGCATGGTTACTGAGGTTACATCTTCCTGTTGGATAGACCCTTTCAATATTATGTAGTGGCCGTCTTTGTCTCTAGTTATGGTCTTCATTTTGAAATCATTTTATCAGATATGAGTATTGCTACCCCAGCTCTTTTTTCCTTTCCGGTTGCTTGGAAATTTTTTTTCTATTTCTTCACTTTCAACCTATGTGAGTCTTTTGTTGTGGGCTGGGTCTCTTGTAAACAACATATATATGAGTCATGCTTTCCTATCCAATCAGCTACTCTGTCTTTTGATCAGAGAGTTGAATCAATTTACATTTAAGGTTATTATGGATATGTACTTATTTATTGCCATTTTTGTTTATTGTGGTTATATTTTTCTTCCTATTACTTCTGCTAATTACAGCTGTCCTTTTAACATTTCAGTACTATGTTAAATAAGAGTGGCAAAAATGGGCATCCCTGTCTTGTTTTTGTTCTTACAGGACATGCCTTTAATTTTTGGCCATTGAGTATGATATTGGCTGTAGGTTTTTCATATATGGCCTTTATTATATTGAGATATGATCCCTCGGTTTCCACATTGCTGAGCAAATGTGAGTTCTGGTTTGGTGCTAATATATCCCTTTTGCCTTTCTTTGTCTGGGAAGCTGTTTATTTCACCTCCTATTTTGAATGATAGCCTTGCTGGATAGAGTAGTCTTGGATTCAGATCCTTGTTTTTCATGACTTTGATTACTTCATTGCATTCCCCTCTGGTCTGGAGTGTTTTTGTTGAGAAGTCTGGTCATAGTCTTATGGTGGTTCCTTTGTAGATAACCTGTTGCTTATCTGTTGCTGCCTTTAGGATTCTCTCTTTGTCTTTAATTTTTTGCATTTTAGTTATGATGTATCGTGGTGTGGGCCTGTTTCGGTTCTTCTTGTTACGTTTCATGTTGTCCCACATGTTTTTTAATGTTTTTTTTCTTTTTGCTTCTCTGGTTGGGTGATTTTTTTCTACTTTGTCTTCTAAGTCACTGATCTAATCCTCGGCTTCCTCTACTCTGCTGGTTATTTCGTCCAATAGGTTCTTTATTTCTGCTATGTCATTCTTCATTTCTGCTTTGTGGTTCTTCATTTCCATTTAGTTGATTTTCAATGTTTCTATATCTTTACTCATGTTGTTGAGCTCTTTACTGATGCTGTTGAGCTTTCTCATTATTATTACTCTGTATTCTACCTCTGACAACTTGCTTAATTGCATTTCATGTATCTCTTCTGTAGAATTCTCTTGTTCTTTCATTTGGGGTTTGTTACTTTGCTTCACCATTTTGGCTGTCTCAGTGGGTTTTGGAGCCTGCCAAATTTTCCCTGTGGGTTTTGATGTTCCACTGCTTGTGGCTCCCTCTATATGTTTGGATGAGTGTTGGAGGACCCATGTTAAACACCACTGCCAAGTCTTACTTTCCTGGGTAGATTTGCAGGACAAAGGTTCAGTTTTCCTGTAGCTTTTGCCTGCTAGCTATTAGTCTCAGTTACTTGTGGAGCCTTGGGTTTTAGCCCTCAGCTGAATGCAAACATTTCTCAGGTGTTCTGGGTAATAGGATTTTCAGTGGGTGGGGCAGGTGCTGAGCTCAATTTGCATTTTTCTGGCTTTAGTGAAGGGTGTTAAGTTACTGCGGGAGGAGCTGTTGCTTCTCCCTGGGGCTCTGGGAAAGGTCTCATTGAGTAAGATGGCTACTGTTCTATGAGTGAGTGATTCTGCACAAAACTCCCAGTGCCCTCTCAGCTCTCCAAACTCCACACAGTTCTAGTGCAGTCTGCCCTCCCTCTGCTGGAGCTCAAGGTGAGTGGCTGTAGCTAATTTAGTGCTCTGACCCGGCACTCTCCGCTGTGGAGCCAACTTGGGATTTTAACCCTAAGGGAACTGCTCACAACCTAAACATCCCTCAGCTGCTGTCCATGGGCTCCCAGCCTGCCCTCTCTTGTGTCTCCACAGCTCCTACCAGGCTCGATTTGGTGTCCTCTTTCCATCCTTGGTTATACGGGTTCTCTTCAGCTTTTTTCTGTTTGTTTTTCCTGATGATTTGTGTTTATTTTAGTTATAATTTCATTTTGGTCCTGGGATATGTGTAGCTATCCTCATTGTGTGTAGCTTCCATTCACTCTACTGCCATATTTCTTTTCCAGAGCTCTTCTCTTGCTGGCTATGTTAGTTAGGATCTAGGTTTTGTTTCATGTGACAAAGACCTATGCTTATGTGTAGTTCCTTTTGCCTTTATTCTTAGAGACTCTAGCCATTTTCAAAGGTACTTAGGTCAGCACTTGTTTCCCATACCTTGTTTTGTTTTAATCTTAGATTTTCCTTTATATTCTTTTCAGAAAATGGGATGAAGATTATATTGTAACCCCTGAGATAAAAATTGTAATTGTAAAGCGGGAGTCTCTCAATAGCAAACTGGAAGAAAAGACACTAAAATGTTTTGTTTTGTTTTAACCATTCTGAATTACTATTAAGCCTTCCCTTCAAAGCAAGGTGGAAGTTACAGACTTGAAGGAACACATTGAGGAAAGCAGAAATTTCAGTGGTATGAGGTTCTTGAGCTGCCCTTTTCTTTGTTCAGAGGAAGCAAGGGCAAGTTTACCCAGTATTACTGTTCCTCCTACCAACACTGACAATTAAAATGAATTTACCTGTTATATCAACAATCTTAGGGTTATACCAAAGAAGCTCTGCTTTTAAACATGTTTTTTGTTCATCTCATGAATTTCCTACATGTTAGATCTGCACTCTCCAATTTTATAGCAACTAACCACTTGTGATTATTGTTAAGTTTAAATTAATTTAAATGAAATAAAATTTCAATTCCTAAGGCACACTAGCCACATTTTGAGCACTCAGTATTTTGGACAGTGCAGATGTAGAACATTTTCATCATTGCACAAAGTTACATTGGAGTGCTCTGTGTTAACAGAAATCAAAAGAGCGTGTTAGAAACTGAGCTTCCTAAGATGGTGCTTCACCATCATTTTTGTTTTTTAATTTTTTTTCTTCATTGATTTTAGAGAGAGAGGAAAGGAGAGGGAAAGAGAGATAGAAACATCTATGAGAGAGAACATCAATTGTCTGCCTCCTGTATGCCCCCCACTGGGAATTCGGCCAACGATCTGGGCATGTGCCCTGACTGGGAATCGAACTGGTGACTTCTTTGTGTATGGGTTGACACTCAGCCACTGAGCCACACCAGCTGGGCATCACCATCTTGAAAGTAGAGTCTAAATAATATTTATATAGTAAAAAGAAATGATCCTTAACCTATTAATTTTAGATTGCTATTTTTTTGGGAAGAGCTGCCAATATTTACCCCTTGTCTCTCTTACTTAATTTGGGTAGAAGAAGTAAGATTGGATCAAATTTTCAACACATGATGATGTTTGCTGGTAAGTTATCTTTCCCTCTCTTTCCCCACTCACAGAAGCTATTCACAATGCATACGCCCGCCAGCTTGATTTTAAATGGAAATTATATGCTGGTAATATTACTCCCTTAAATATTGAAGTTGCAACTTACAATAGAAAAAATTTTTTATAGTGTCCCATTCCCTTCTGTGGGAATGTTTCCATGTTCTGGTTCCAAATTACCAGTTCAGAAATAAGTCACACAGAGAGAATATAAAGATCTGTGTACTTTCACACAAAAACCTGTATGTGAATGTCTATGGAAATTCTATTCATAATTGCCAAAATCTAGAAACAGCCCAATTGACTGTATTCCAGTGGGTGAATGAATAAGTAAGCTGGTGCATCCATGCCATGAAATACTACTTAGAACTCAAAAGAACAAACTGTTGATGCACACAACAACATGGATGAACCTCAGAAGCATTATGTTGAATGAAAGAAGCCAGTCTCAAAAGGTCACATACTGGATGATTCCATTTATAGGACATTCTGAAAAAACAAAAGCATAGCAATGGAAAACAAATGAATGGTTGCCTGGTGTTTGGCAAGGTAATGGAGAAGCTGACTAAAAAGAGGTTGAGCAAAGGAATCTGGGGGGTGGGTAATGAAATTGTTATGTGCCTTGTTTGTGTTAATGGTCACACAGCTCTATGCATTTGTCAAAACTCATGGAACTATACACCCCAAAGAGTGAATTTTAGTATGTGTAAATTTAAATTAAATTTCAGAAAAATTGTTAGAAGATCAATGCATGTTAATATCATCTACTGATTTCTCATTTATTTGTATATACTTATATATGTTGATATATATTATGTATTTGTTCACACCCCTCTAAGTTCTCAGAATGCCTTATTTATTTGAATTTTATGAAGCTCACATTGGTAATGAGTTATTGAAAAAATACCTCTTCCATTTCCTTTTAGGCCTTCGTGGAGCAATGGCATTTGCCTTGGCCATTCGAGATACTGCCACTTATGCACGGCAAATGATGTTCAGCACCACACTTCTGATTGTGTTTTTTACTGTGTGGGTATTTGGTGGTGGCACCACTGCCATGCTGTCCTGCTTGCATATAAGGTAAGTAGTGATTGGGAACCTCATTTTAATATTAAGTTATAATTCGGGTTATTATTATTTTTAATCATGAGAAAATTTTAAGCATTGACAAATCTATAATGTTTAATGTTTTTCTTTTAAAAACTAACATGTAGTACAGAAAAATGAAAAATATGCAAAATAAAAACCACTGTTAATAATTTGAGGGATGTCCTTTCAGACCACGTGCTATGCATTATATATATTTTTAACAAAAAGGGGCAATACTACAGGTACTCTTATAAATGGATTTTTAAGTGTAATACAGCATTGAGCATTTATGTTAGTAAATAGCATTATTTTAATGGCTGCATGTATCATAATTTATTTAACCAAATCTCTACCTTTGGACTTTTGTATTGCTTCTAGGATTTTGTTATTGCCATTAATGTTTGAGACTTTTGCTATTACTATTACCATTAACAATGTGAACATTTGTAAATGCACACACCGTTGTGCATTTGTTTATTTCCTTATGATGTATTCCTAGAAGTGGAATTGCTTGGTCAAAGGATATGCATATGTTTAAGGCTTTTGATCCACATTACAAGATTGGATCAAAACTTTTCTTCTTCTGTACCCTCTCAGACAGTCCTGTTTATCCCAACCCTAATCAATATTAGATATTATTTCTCATCTTTGTGATCAGCACAGTTTCTGACCTGATGATCCAAGTTTAAGATTGTGAGGCCTTCGCCTTAGATGCACACTCGTTGATGTATTCAATTGGGAAGCTCCCTTGTATCTCAAGAGGTCTACATTGTTTCCATGGATACAGCATCTTACGTTGCCAAAGCTTTGTAGATTTTAGTTCTGCGTTGGCTGAAACTTCACAGACCCTAAGAGCTACTGAGCTTCCAGAATGTGTAGAGTTCATTAAAGAAAACAATATTTCACATTTGATAGAATCCATTCTCCATTTTTTTCATTCTATTATGCCTTTCTTTAACATTCTAATGACCAGCCAGCCTTAAATCAAACTTTGAATGTGGTTATTATTGTCTTTATCTTGCTTTACTGTTCAAATACCTTTCTCACAATTTTTCTGTTGTTGTATATAATAAAAAATAATGTTCATATAATCCTGATTATTAGTTCAGGGAAGTCTGGGCATTTTTTGAGCACCTACTGTGTTCTGGGCATTGTGCTAAGTGCATTTTACACATTTATCTAATCACAGTAGCTCCATTTTATAAGTGAGGAAATAAAGTCTTAAAAATTTTTAATTTGTTCAATGTCATAGAATTAAATGATGGACAGAGGAACCTTATCAAGAAATGATGGTAAATTTGGGAAGGATTAACATCTTCCTTTTCTTAAGAGCTTGTAAATGAAGACTGTTTCTTATTCTAAGAAAAACAAGATTAAATGTAAGAATTTTTTAAAAAGAATAATCTTAAATGGTGTCTCAGTGTTTAGGTAGAATCGGTTCTCTTCCCTGTCTTCCACACAAACCAAACAAAATATCCAAACTTACTCCCACTAAGACTCACAAAACCCCCCTACTCACATAAAGTTGAATCCACCTCACCAGCTTTGCAAGTTCTTTGGCCCCATCTTGCCTGTCCTGTAGCATAGTTGGGCATTTAATTATATTTATTACCTTACAGTCTTAGGTTAACTCATATTGTTCTTGTTTGGGGATATTTTGGCCTCTGCAAAGAGACTAGAATTTAAGTTTCATTTCCCAACTCTGAAATTTGTCTAGTACAATTTTGAGGAGACTGATAATAAGGCCTTAAAGTTTAAGATTAATGAAGACTTAGACTTGACTTTGAGTTCTTGCTCGTTAATTTTGAGTTCTTGCACCTTCCTTTACTAATTCTGTGATCTTGAGCTAGCCCTTTTACTCTACTTAAGCCTAAATTTCCACATTTGTAATGCACGTGTGTTATTATCTACCTCCTAGGGTTGTTGTAAGGATTCAGTGAACTAACCTCTGTAAAGCTCTTACCACATCGTTGCAAATGTGCTTTCTAGTCATTCAATAAATAGAGCAGATTCGGAAAATTGAGCACCCCATGTGCCAGGCATTGTTTTATTATTATTATTGTTATTATCTTTATTGTTGAGAGTATTACAGATGTTCCCCATCTTTTTCCCCCCGCTGCCCCCCTCCACCTGGTTCCCACCACCCCACCTCAGGCTTTTGCCACCCTATTGTCTGTGTCCATGGGTAATGCATATATACACATACGTTCTTTGGTTAATCTCTTCCCGATCCCCGCCATCATTTCCTCTGAGATTCCTCAGTCTGTTCCATGTTTCCATGACTCTGATTCTGTTTTATTCATCCATTTATTTTGTTCACTAGATTCCACATATAAGTGGGTATCATGTGATACTTGTCTTTCTCTGACTGTCTTATTTCGCTTAGCATAATGCTCTCGAGGTCCTTCCAAGAGGTTTCAAAGGGTAAGAGATCCTTCTTTTTTATGGCTCCATAGTATTCTATTGTGTAAATGTACCACAGCTTTTTTCCACTTGTCCACTGATGGGCACTTGGGCTGTCTCCAGATCTTAGCTATTGTGAATAGCATTGCTATGCAGATAGAGGTGCTTATATTCTTTCTGATTGGTATTTCTGGATTCTAAGGCTATATTCCTAGAAGTGGGATCACTGCGTGAAATGGCAGTTCAATTTTTAATTTTTTGAGGAAACTCCATACTGTTTTCCGTAGTGGCTGTACCGGTCTGCATTTCTATCAGCAGTGTACTAGGGTTCCTTTTTCTCCACATCCTCACCAGCACTTGTTATTTGTTGATTTATTGCTAGTAGCCATTCTGGCAATTGTGATTTGATATCTCACATGGGTTTAATTTACGTATCTCTGATGATTAATGACTTTGAGCATGTTTTCATATGTCTAGTGGCCATCTGTGTCCTTTTGGGAGAAGTGTGTATTCAAGTCCTTTGCTCATTTTTATTTTTATTTATTTATTTATTTATTTTTTATCCTCACCCGAGGACAATTTTCCATTTTTTTTTTGTTCAGATAGAGTGGGAGGGAGAGAGAGGAAGAGAGAGAGAGAGAGAGAGAAACATTGAAGTGAAAGGGACACATCAAGTGGTTGCCACCTGCACAACCAACCAGGGCCAGGGACAAACTGCAACTGAGGTACGCACCCTTAGCGGGAACCAAAGCCGGGTCTCTCTGGATGGCAGGCCAACGCTCTAACCGCTGAGCCAAACTGGCCAGGGCTTTGCCCATTTTTTAAAAAAAAATTTATTAATTTATTTTTGTTATAGATGTTCCTCCTTTTTTTCCCCTGACACATACCTCCCCATCCACTCCCCACCACGTACCCGGCTTTGTTGACCACGTCCATCGATTATGTGTACATGCATATAAATTACACATAAGAGATGGTATATCTCTTCCCTCCCCCCACCAATCCCTCTTCTGAGGGATGTCAGTCTGTACCCTACTTCTACGTCTCTGGGTCTACCCAATTGCCCAGACTGTTATGTTCATTATATTTCACAAATAAGTGAGATCAAGCAATATTTGTCTTTCTCTGCTTGACTTGTTTCGCTGAGAATAATACTTTCCAGGTCCCTCCATGTCGTCTCAAAGAATAAGAGATCTTTCTTTCTCACAGCTGCATAGTACTCCATTGTGTATATGTACCACAACTTATTTATCCATTTGTCTACTGATGGACACTTGGGCCGTTTCCAGATCTTAGCTATTGTAAATAGTGCTGCTATGAACATGGGGGTACATATATTCTTTCTGATTGGTGTTTCAGGCTTCTTAGGGTATATTCCTAGAAGTGGGTTCACTGGATCGAATGGGAGTTTAATTTTTAATTTTTTGAGGAAACACCATATCGTTTTCCATAGTGGCTGCACCAGTCTGCATTCCCACCAGCAGTGTACTAGAGTCCCCTTTTCTCCACACCCTCGCCAGCACTTGTTGTTTGATGATTTGTTGATGGCGGCCATTCTGATAGGTGTGAGGTGATACCTCATTGTTGTTTTAATTTGCAGCTGTCTGATGATTAGTGATGTTGAGCATTTCTTTGTATATCCCTTGGCCATTTGTATGTCCTGTTTGGAGAGGTATCTATTTAGCTCCTCTGCCCATTTTTTAATTGGGTCTTTGCCTTCCTTTTGTTGAGTTGTATGAGCACTCTATATATTATGGAAATTAACCCCTTATCCGATATATCATTGGCAATGATGCTCTCCCATACAGTGGGCCTTTCCATTTTGTGCATTATATCTTTTGCTGTGCAGAAGCTTTTGAGTTTAATGTAGTCACATGTGTTCATTTTCTCCTTTGTTTCTGTTGCCTTAGGTGATGTATCAATGAAAGTTCTGCTGTGTCTGATGTGTGAAATTTTGTTGCTTTTATTTTCTTCTAGGATTTTTACGGATTCATGAGTCATATTTAAGTCTTTTATCCATTTTGAGTTTATTCTTGTGTGTGGTGTAAGTTGATGGTCTAGTTTCATTTTTTGCATGTAGTTATTCAATTCTTCCAACATCATTTATTAAAGAGGCTGTCTTTACTCCACTGTATGCTCCTGCCTTCTTTGCCGAATATTAATTGAGTATGATGTCTTGGGTCCATTTCTGGGTTCTCTGTTCTGTTCCACTGGTCTATATGCCTGTTCTTGTGCCAATACCAGGCTGATTTGATTACAGTAGCTTTATAATATATCCTGATATCCGGTATTGTGATCCCACCTACTTTGTTCTTTTTCAAGATTGCTGTGGCTATTCCGGGTCCTTTTTGGTTTCATGTGATATTTTGAAGTATTTGTTCTAGTTTTGTGAAATATGTCATTGATATTTTGATGGAGATTGCATCAAATCTATAGAGAGCTTTGGGTAATATGGACATTTTGATGATGTTAATTTTTCCAATCCATGAACAAGGTATGTGCTTCCACTTTTTTATATCTTCCTATACTTCTTTTTTCAATGTCCTGTAGTTTTCTGCAAATAGGTCCTTCTTTGGTTAACTTTATTT